AAACACTGAATATTACTTCGTAATAACTTTGTAATTACTTTTAAAACTGAACGACTCGTTTTTTACACACAATTATTGCACGTGGAATGTTCTTGAAATCTCGACGTACGCTCGTCGCACGTCGTCCGCTCGATAGGACCAACACTTTATGTACATACGAATAAGGTTCAATTTAGAATACGAAGTTTGAATGGTTTTAAATAAAAGATGCGTGTGCTCAACTTAGAGGTTTATTTCTCTCTCATTGACGTATCCGGTTACTCCGGTGTAGTGACATAATTATTGACATAGATAACTAAAATATTAATATGACATTTTCACATAGACAGTTGCATTTAGAAACTGTGAAGACTGAATGTATCTTGTATATTAAAAAATATTCAAATACTATAATTTACATATGTTTAATTTAATATTAGTCCCCTTTCTTAGCTAATAATCAATGGCCTGTCACTTCCCTGCCTTAATTTGGCACTACTCTGCCGATAGTGTCAGTCCCCTGGTAACACATTTTCCTCTGGTGCTTATAAAATTAAAAAAAGTGAAAAAAATTTCTGGCCCTTATCATTACAAATTACAAAATAATGTCAAATAGAGAAATAATCAAAATTGAATGGAACAGATTACATTTCCTTCAGGGACCCAAAAAAATCATATAGCATATATTCACCCATATGGCAAGATAGGGATCTTTTTTATCAGAATAACATTTCTTTAAGATATTCTTTATAGTTCTGATTGAACGTTCAACTAGTCCATTTGAGCGACTATGATATGGGCTAGAAGTTATATGTTGAATTTGCCATTCTCTCATAAAATCACTTACTTCATTTGAATTAAATGGAGGACTATTGTCACTTATGACAATATGAGGGATTCCAATGACGTGCAAAAATAGACTTTAAATGAGTAATGACACTACTAGAATTAGATGAGTTTAAAAGTGCAATTTCTGAATATTTTGAAAAGTAGTCTACGACAATTAAGTATTTTTTATTATTTATATCAAACAAATCCATACCTACTTTATTCCATGCTAAAAGTTTATAATCATGAGAGATTAGTGGTTCTTTACTATTGTTATTGCGGAATGTAAGACATGTATGACACTGACTGACAAATTTTTCTATATCTTTGTTAATGTTATGCCAATAAATTGTACCTTTAGCTAGTCTTATACAGCTATTTATGCCTTCGTGACTTTCATGAATTAAATTAAGTAAATAATCACGCATATTGAATGGAATTATTATGCTTGTATCCTTGAATACAATATTATCTATGACATATATTTGATGTTTAAAATCAAAGTATGGTTTGACTGATGCTGAAACACATCTTTTGTGTTCAGGCCAACTGTTTTGACAGTATGTAATTATTTGACTTAGGACTTCATCCTTAATTGAGCTTTCTTTGAATTCTTTTAGTTTTTCAGGACTGACTGACAATGTACTAATTAGCATATTTATGTGCAAGTCTAATTCTTGATCTACTTCTTTCAAAGATTGTTCTGACAATGCCGCTCTTGACAGTGTGTCTGCTATATATAAATATTTACTAGGCTTGTATGAGACTTTAAGATCATAAGGCTGGAGTCTTAACATGATTCTTTGTAACCTAGGTGGTATTTCATGAAGAGGTTTTTTCATTAATGAGACAATTGGCTTATGGTCAGTTTCAACTAGTGTTTGACGACCATATATGTATTGGTGAAACTTAGTACACCCAAACAATATAGCTAAGAGTTCTTTCTCAATTTGAGAATATGACTGTTGACAAGGTGTTAATGATGATGATGCATATGCTATTGGTTGATTATTGTGACAAATGACAGCACCCATTGCATCTTTTGACGAATCGACTGACAGTGTAATATCTTTATTGGGGTTATAGTAAACTAAGACTGGAATTTTTGTTATAATTTCTTTTAGACTGTTATATTCTGTGTTGTGTTCATGTGACCACGACCATTTTGTGTTTTTTGACAGTAAAGACCTTAGACAAGACGTTTTTTGGGACAAATTATCAATAAATGGACCTAAATAATTGACCATTCCTAAAAATCTTTGTAGTTCATTGACATTACTAGGTGTAGGCATATCACAAATTGCCTTGACTTTACTTTCATCGACTTTCATACCTTTTTGACTAAAACATGACCTAAATAACGGACTTCTTCTTTACAAATTACTGACTTTTCTTTATTGAATTTAATGTTTATCTCTCTAGCTCTTTTTAGAACATTTTCTAGACGTTTGTCATTAGTTTCTTTGTCAGGAGCATATATTAAAATGTCATCTATCATTATTTTTACTCCTTCCAAGTCACTAAATCTTTTAACCATTTCACTGTGAAAGATTTCACTGGCTGCATTAATACCAAAGGGTAGCCTTAAGAAACGATACCTTCCTTGAGGAGTGTTAAATGTACAAAGTTTTAAGGATACTTCATCTAGCAATATCATCCAAAAACCTTTGTTAGCATCTAAAGTACTAAAATACTTGGCACCACTTAGTGTAGATCTAATTTCATCAATGGTAGGTAAAGGAAAATGAGGTCTCATGAGAGCATTATTTAATTTTTTAGGATCAATACATAATCTAAGCTTTCCATCTTTCTTTGAAGTTAGTACTAATGAATTAACCCATTCTGTAGGTTCCTCTACTTTTTTAATTAATTTTTTTCTTTCTAGGGACTCTAATTCTCTTTTTAGTCTATCAGCAAGACGAAATGGGACTTTCCTACAGGGATCTATGGAGGCTATGGCATTAGGTTTTAGAACAAGATGAGCTTGATAATCTTTTAAACAACCTATCCCTTCAAATAAGTCAGCATATTTAGACAAAATATCTGTTTGTACTATATTAGACTGAAACTTGACATTACGTATTCTTTTGATTAACTTTAACTTTTGACAAGACTCTTGACCAATGATATTTTTACATGGCAAATCAACAATATGAAATATTATATCATAAGACTGGTCATTGCATATTACAGGCAAACTACACATACCTACTGTTTGTATAACTTCTCCGCTAAATGTACTTAACTTGTGATTACTTTTTTGTAAGATATTTGTAGATAAGTTTAATTTTCTAAAGTCATTGAGAGATAAAATATTAGTTTCTGCACCTGTGTCTAATATAAAGTTAATGACAATATTATTTATTAATAGTTCAATTTGAAATACACTGTTTTTAGTTGAATCACACAACAAAATTTGACTTTCTTGAAATATTTCTACATCGGAGTCTGACTGACTGGGAGCATTGACTTTCTTAATGGTGTGACATAACTTGGAAAAATGGTTTAGTTTCCTGCATAAGTTGCAGATTACTCCAATGGCTGGGCAACGGACACGGTGTATTTGACCACAACGATGACATGGACTGGCTTCTTTTTTCTTGACTGGGCTTCGACTGGTGAGGTTGCCTCTCGACTGGCTCCTACCCGGACTGATACTACGTGAACTTCTAAAATTGTATAAATGTTTGTTAGTTGACTGTTTTTGACTGAATACCTTTCCGACGAATGACTGTGACGTAGTAGACTGTTCCCCTTGTAGAACTTTGGCTCGTTGTCTTGACGTTTCCAATTTTTTGGATAGATCCAATGACTCTTGAAATGTCTTAGGGTCATTAGTTAGAAGTTTTTCCCTGATGTAGTTATTATTGCTGTTTAGGTTCCATGAAAATACATCTTTTAGTATGTTGTCACGCAGCTCGTCGCAACCACATTGTAGGCTGATATTCTTGATATCTATAGCATAGGACGCAATGTCTTCATCTTGACCTTGCTTTCTATTGAAAAGTTTGTGCCTTTCCATTGTTATGTTTACCTTAGGCAGAAAAAAATCCTCGAATTTCTTAAGGAGTTCTTCGAAAGAGATGATATCGATGTCGACGTTAAATGAGTAAAATATTTCTAACGCCGCGCTGCCGATGCATGCTAACAAAATGGCGACCTTACGTGATTCAGGTTCCTTTTTAAAGTTATTTGCCCGCATGTAAATTTTTAAATTCGTGGCGAAGTTCTTCCAAGTCAGCGGCATATTTGACGCATGTATATTCAGTTTTTCGATATTATTTATAAGTGACGAAGACGATTGTATAAAATGCGATTGTCCAGCGTCCGCCATGATGTCGTCTGTAGATTTCGTAGATTTCTTTGCAGCTTGCGTGTGCGACATTTTCAATTTTTATTTATTTCATTGACTTTTCCTTTTTTACTTTTGACACCATGTTATGTTCTATGTATTTATTATTTTACTATTTAATATTTATCAGGACTCGGGTGAAAATGAAACAAGCGTTCACGTTGAAGCCATTGACCAGACGGAAGTGTATATTTTATATTTCTTAATACTAATTAACCATAGACACAAATTTTTCACATGAATGACGACTCTAAACATTTGCCCATTGATCATCCCCAGCACGACCGACTGCATAAAGTAAGACCAGTTATAGGCTATTTGAACAAGAAATTTATTACTGTACCATTTGAGCATCGGCTATCACTAGACGAGCAAATGTGTTCAACTAAAATTAAACATTTTATGAAATAATACTTACCCAACAAGCCCCATAAGTGGGGATTCAAATTATACGTTTTATGCACTCTGTCTGGGTATGCCTACAGTTTTGAGATTTACTCAGGAGCTAAGGACATAGACCGTTTACCTGGCGAACCAGACCTCGGCGGGCTTATTATCTAAAATTAAGCGATCAGCGATAATTGTGCAGTCATTGCGCAGAAGACGCGCGATTGATCGCTCTAGGTGAAAAATAATCGTATTACCTAAGCGATCGCTCGCTAATCGTTCGCTGATCGCCAAATGCAGTTTTCGCGATGTAACTAGCGCCACTAACAATTTGGTAGCGATAATTAAAACTAAAAACGTAGCAACTAATATATAATCTGTGAAAAAATGCTAATTGACATTTGTTAATTGGATTCTAAGTAGTAATTTGTTTTGTTTATACTTTTTATAAAATATGGCAAATACTAATAGAGTATCGAACGACCAGCTCGAAGAACTCTTAGAGTTCCTTAGCGAGCATCCTACCTTGGCCAAGGGAGTTGGGCTTGGAGCAAGATCCAAGGAAGCTGTCGACAAGCAATGGGACAGTCTTGCTACAAAGCTCAATTCCCATGGTTCTGGGTCGTCGAAATCTGGACAGCGGTGGAAAAAGGTAAGTTCTCATAATATTATAGAAAAGAGATCCATTTTTAGCCAATTAATTGAAAAACTGCTTGAAAATAACATTTTATTTATGAGATAGAGCTGTACTGCTCTTTATATGTTGTGATAAATACTTTTGTTGTTATAGTACTGGGCTGATATTAAGCATAAGAGCAAGGCTAGGCTAGCTAAATGGAGAAGGGATGCTTTGGGTACTGGTGGTGGTCCTTGTAGCCAAGATGACCTCTCCGAGGTAGACAAGAAAATCTTGTCTATCATCGGGGAGCAAGCTGTGTTTGGTGATACTGAGCACCGAATTCCATTTGTAAGTTTCTTTAATAGCTTTTTTATTATGATTATTATTTATGAAAACTAAATACTTATTCTTTTTTAGATCACTGAACAGTTAACACCAGAACCATCAACATCATATGAATTACCAAGTAAGTTATTTAGAAGAGGATCTGTGATGTGATGTGAGGGTTAGGCAATGGGATATTATAGGATGTTGGGAAAATATATTTTGTTTTATAATAACTTTATCTATGACTGATTCATATAAATTATTTATTTACTTAAAATATTTCAAGGCTTTAAGTAATGGTTTGGTTTGAATGTCATTTAAAATGGTGGTACTGCATGTCACAGAATTGTACCAATTAAATATTTTTTGTAATATTGCTGTATTAGTTTTAATATTATTCTTTTTTTATTTCAATTATCTTATAAATAAATTTTAGATAATAAAGCAGATGATGTGCATATTATGGTGTTAACAGAGCCCCTTACTGTGGCCTCACCTTCCACAAGAGGTCAAACATCCAACCTATGTAAGTGTTATGATTTTTATAAAACTACAAAGTACTGTTATAATAATATATCATATCTGGAACTTAATATATAACAAAAAGATGATTGTCTTTCTGATCTATCAATACTCAGCTCAAACCACTGGACGGATTGAGCTGATAGGCATATGGATAGCTATTATGACATACATATATACATCTGCTAAGGCTTATATGTAAGTTACGAAAAAAATGTATTTTAATTTGTTTATTTTTAACAATTTTTATTTGTTTATTCACAGGCACTTCCCAAATTCCAGAAACTGGTTCTGTATCAGTAAAAATGGACATAAACACAGAACCACCACTGACTGGTGCTTATACTTATTTATAATAAAAAAATTATTAGTTTCCTTATTAAAATACATAAAGCTATAATCATATTATTTTACAGGATTAGATAGTCCAGTGGCGCGACCACGTATCTATCGCCCACGAAGACTTAATAGCCCGTATAAATCTAAAACTACAGGTAAGATCACTTTAGAAAATTTTGTTAACAATAATTAATTAATGCTTTACTGTATTGTTTTGAATAAAATTAAAATATTATTTTATTTCAGTTCAATCTAAAATTGACCCAGAATGGGTAAAGGGACTAGAGAATCGCAGAGTTGATGCAGAGACCAAGCTTGCAGAGGCTGCTCTTATTATGGCAGAGTCTACACGAACACAAGCCGAAGCAGCTAAGGTGCAAGCAGATACGATGCGATCTCTTGTTGAACTAGTACGTGTGCAACAAGAAAATATCCATGCTCTGATAGAGCTGATCAGAGAGAAGCAGGAAATAAATAAATGATACTGTTGAACATTAAATTTTTTATATATATATTTTTTTTTATAAGGAAATAATAATAATATAAAAATACTTTTAATATGTTCTAAGATTTATATATATATATATATATATATATATATATATATTTAATAAAAAAATTTATATAATTAAAATAATTGTATTATTTATTGTCTGGGGGCTGACCACAATCGTTGCACTATTCTGTCTCTTTGTAGTATCCCACTGGCCAAGAGCTGTTGTTCTGCATCAGCACCCACAGCTAGAGGTGTTCGTGGAACTCGATAATTCAAATCATTTTCAACATCATCATGGGGCAATTGTGGTACTGGCAAGCGATGTCTATTGCAAATATTATGTAATACAGAACAGGCATTAATAATCATAGCCACCATGTGGTGGTCATAATGTAGTACTCTGTGTGCCAATAGACATCTCCAACGCGCTTTTAGAACTCCAATGCAGCGCTCCACTGTATTTCTGGTACGACAGTGAACATTTGTGTAGTGCTCTTCTGCACTACCAGGTTCTGCATTTACAATTGGAGTTAAAAGCCATGGCCTCAGTGGATATCCAGAATCACCTGTAAATTACTGATGTTTATTAAAAATATTCATATTGCTCTTTTAATGTAATATTATTAGTTATTCTACGCACCTAGAAACCAGACATTTTCACCTCTACTGTGAAGCTCTTGGAGATGGCTCTGAATTTCACCATTTTTCCATATGTATGCATCATGTGAAGCACCACCAAATGATGCATCAATATTTAAAATATTTAAATCACTATCACATATCTAGAAAAAATACATTTATGTAGATTTGTGTACATGAATTATAATATACAATAATGGACTAAAATTTTCTAAAAATATATAAAGAAAAGGTAACTGACTGACTGATTTATATCAATGCACAGATATAACTACAGGACATTGAAATTTTTCATATAGATGATTATTATGATGTAGGCATCCCTTAACCAATATTTTAAAATTTAATCCCTGGAGGGTGAAATAGAACTTAATTTAAGTGAAACTGTGGGGTCAACACTAGTTGTCATGAGTACAAAAAAATATGTATGAATTACTACCATTTGAACATTTCGTGAATGGTAATGTTTCCTATTAAAAAATCTCTCCTCATGCTCTGTTGGCTTAATAAGAGCTACATGGGTACCATCTATACAACCCAAGCAACCAGGAAAACCAAATTTATTTGAAAAGCTAAAATAAAGTGAATTAGTGAATCATACAGTAAAAACAGTTGTGAAACTAAAATTATTACAAATCTTCTAGTCCTTACCCATTTATTATTGCCTGTCTTTCTTGTCGAGAATGAGGGAAATGTATGTACTTGGTCAGTATACTGTGTGTATTTAATGCCCTAGTCACTTCTTTCACAGCATTAGATACACTAGCTTGACTGAGCCCATGCAAGTAGCTCATGCCAACAGGCTTCTGATAAGAGCCTGTGGCATAGAATGAGAGAGCTGTAAGCACCTGTAATATCACCATATTATATTAACATTAAGCCTCCTGTTAAGTCAATAAAGGACAATATTGCATACATTACGATATTATTATTTACTTACTTTGCATTCTACAGAGATTTTTGTTCTCCTTTTCAACCGAACCATGAATGGTTTTAACTCTGAGCATAAATGTTTAAACAGCTCCTTAGTAAGTCTGTAGTTGGCTTTGAAGTCAGTATCAGAAAGCGCCAAAGCTTCGGCTTGATTTCGAAGTCTACGTCTCAGTCGTGCTGTAACGCGGCTGTGACGCCGTTGGTTTTCACGGTTCTCAATCTCTAGTGCCTCAAATAAAAGACAAGCACGAGCCATGTCGAATGCAAATGATAAAAGACCAACAAGTAACGTAAACAGAAACTACGCTTTACACTTACTACAATTTATCAACACCAAAATAGTTAAAAATATGATTATCACTTTTATACACATAAAAAACGCAGCATAAATATCAATATATGAGAAAATCCTAAAAGTAACGACAAACAATAGATCAGCAATCGGCAAAAAATCACTTCTAGGGCTATCGCAAACTGACAGATTATATTGCTTGTTGATTGCTATCGCATTGCTCTCGAGAGTCATACCTAATACGAAAAAATCGTAATTTCATAGATTAAAATGCACATATAGTTCACCGATTGCTCGACAGAGGAAGCACTGTCACTTGTTTGCGATTGTTTCGCTATTGCCGATACATAATACGATTTTGCGATTGGACAGCAATTATTGTACGATTTTCGCTATCGCGAGTGGTTTGCTAGATACGTAATCAGCCTGCGGAGCTGTATCGAATACAGTTATTCGATTGTTACGACCAGTACCAAGGCACGTCAATCATATAACTTATTTTGACAATTTTGATACAAATATTCCTCTGCTACATTACTTGACCAACGAAGGTATTTATTGTCTTTGAACAGTACAGAGAAACAGGCTTGGAAAGTCGTGCAAGTTGCCGGAGAAACGGGAAATTATGAAGTCTACCAGAGGAACATATCACGAAAATGTGGCCTCTCACGAAGGCTACGAATTTTCGGCCACATGTTGGAAAGACAACAAACAAGTACTATTACTTTCCACGTATGTTGGCGCTGAACCAGCGGATACTATAACCCGCTACGAAAAAAAACTAAAGGCCAATGTTCAAGTATCATGTACTCGGGTCATAAAAGAATATAATGCACACATGGGCGGCGTTGATTTGATGGATAGCTTCATTGGTCGATATCGCATCCGCATAAAGTCGAGAAAGTGGACAAAGAGGCTCTTCTACCACTTGTTATACATAACTGTCATCAATGCTTGGGTACTATACAAAAAGGTAAACACAATGAAAGGAAAACTTCAGAAGAATATTATGAAGTTAGCAGATTTTAGAACTGAGCTTGCCGATACTTTATGTAGATATATATCAAAGTCACTCGAAAAATAAAAGGGGAAGACCCAGTACCAACAATCGACAAGACACTACAGTACCTTCTAAAAGACCCCGGACAGGTGTACAAGTACTACCCTGTACTGACGTGCGTTGCGATTGTATTGGTCATGAAAAAATATTTATGGATTCTAGAAATAAGTGTAAATTTAATAATTGTAGGAAACTTACCTCCTGGTTATGTAAAAAGTGTAGTGTCGTTATGCGATAATAAAAACAATCAATGTTTCGCATTATTTCATTCATAGGTATATCTGATTTCTTTACGGCGTTAATGTCTGAAGTATCAAAATTGATACCTGTTTTTTTTTTCTAAATAAATATTTAAAAAAATATTGTGATTTTTTTAGCTATTTTTCCCTTCATTTAGACCCTCAAGCAAACACAGTAATATTAAAAATAAATCACTTTCGTAAATCAGGCTACTAAGGGTTAACCTATTTATCCCTTTAAAACCGAAGTTTTTTTTTGTAATCCTAACTATAAAACCTTAATGATGGCTTTATACAGGGTCTGTAGAGCCCGAAAACATCAGTTAAAAAAATCTCATGCTCATAGTTAGCCCACAAATCTACCCGCACGATCGTGAGTCGCAGGTCGTACGCGACATAGTCACGATCGTGAGGGTAATTTGAAATAGCCCCATATCTTGGTAGTTTGAAGAAAAGTTAAAGATGTTTTACGTAATCAGCCTCTTTATTAGTTACTGTAATCATTCAGTCTCATAAATTTTTTCTTAGAAATAAGAATAAAACTAAATATTCTGGTAAACAATAAAACAATAACAAAACAAACTTATAAGAATTTACGCAACTTAAAAAATCTTACTTATGCAATCAAGTAAAATATATATAAATAATCTCAAGCAAATTAGGAACTACTAGATCATACTTTCGTATGATAAGACTTGAAACAATCTTTTCCACGTGCGATGCACAAGTACGTGTCGCATTTTGTGCATCGTACCTTTGTGCGACTGATACAATTTTCGTATCTGCACATTCTAGGAGCTTTTAATTCGTCAAACACTGGGAAATGTTCGTATCCATCATACCGCTTTGCGTCAGACGGCCTGATTGCTGGTCGGTATTGTCTTTTCGGAAGTGGAGATTCGTTTCTATCCAGCGGCGGTTCATTTTCAATATTACTCGTAGATGCCCGGTTTCTTGCTGGCATGCTTGACAATCCATCAGCAATGTTCTTGCGGAAGTCTAACAAGGGTAAAATCTCCCTACGGCTGAGTTTATTTGCAAGACAATGATTGTGATTGAGTCGCCAAGCATTGACAATAGCCAGGTCTAGGAAGTGTATCAACACTTTCAGGGTCTATTTCTTTGTTTTGATGAATGTCCGGTAATACTCCATCTGCTGGTCCAGAACATCAACGCCCCCCATGTGTCGATTGTAAAGTTCAATTACTTTTGGGGCAGACACATCTACATACATCTTCGTGCGTTTTTCCCATCTCTTGACGATTAAAGATGAGGATGAGCCGGTGCAGTTTGACGCCATTATAATCGACTTATTGTCCTTCCATTTGACGACGACAGTCGGTTCGCAAACATACTGCTGCGATTCTCCACGAGCCATCCTAGCATCTGGTTTAAATTTAATTACAGCACGGTCAGGGATCCTATTGAACATAATTGTTCCCGTGCTGTGAAGATTCCTCTTAGTCATCTCTTCAATTAGCGGAACACTGGTAAAATATCTGTCGTGGTAGACACATCTTCCGGGCGGGACACTTTTCACCAGATGCAGTACCACAGAAGCTCCAAGTCCAAGAGATGTATCTCCAAACATGGTTTTTGCTCCTCGATAAATGTCGAAGTCAAGCATCAAGCCTTCACTTGTGGTCAGCACAAAGTTCTTCAGACCCACCAGGCGCGGTTTATTTCGGACTACTTGACGAAGAATAAATCTACCAGTAAATGGTACCATTTGCTCGTCAATGGAGTAGAAGCCAGGAACTCTTTCAAGTTTATTACATGCTTGTTTTAACTGGTCAATCATCGGCTGCACTTTCCACAGTGGATTGTTACTTTCACTCGGCGGGGCTTCATCAGTATCAACGACGTGCAATGCATTACGGACAGTCAAAAACCTGTCACGAGCCATTTGTTGAGTTATTATCTCCAGTTACCTATACCTCTCCAATACATTGGGATACGGGGGTAGGGAATACATCCAATGATGATGTGTATTGCAAAAACTCTGGATATTTCAACCGACGTAAGTTTCAGTTCCTGGCCAGTTTTTCTATGATGGTACATATTTGTGCATCTGGCAATTTCATCAAAAAATTCTCTATCGAAATAGTCAGCGAAATACTCCATTGGAGTTTTGACAGGAGTCACGGGTAATGGAGCATAGTCATGACTACGATCTTCGAAAGGTACCTGCTTCCAAACTCTCTTTCGAGAAGGTGGCCGCGAAGTTGGTTGTGATGATCCAGGAATATTTTCCGGCTCCAGTGCTGTTAACAGCTGTGGTTCAGGCTCGGCTTCTGTAAATATATCTTCCAAAACGCAGGGTTGGATATCGTCGTCATCGTCTTCAAATTCATCGACGTCAGATAAGTTCCCGTCGCCCAGCAATTGTATTACCTGATCTTCGTTTAAACTTCTGCCTAAAAAATAAAAAAAAACGAACTCTTAGTTATAAAATCTACGTAAACGTAAAAATAGCAATATAAAATAACATTTTGGTAGTACAACTGGAGCCGCACGATCGTAGCGGTCGAACTTTACGACTTTATTCTAACCAAATCGTAAATATCAGCACAAAATTAAAATAATCTAGGTATTTAGATATCTTTTAACTTTAAAATAACTATAAAACACAGATAAATACTTTTCAATTACTATAAAAACAATAACTTACCCGCGGCGCGGCGAGGATCGAAAAACGCAGCCATCTTTAATCGCAGTTCACTGGCGACTGACCGGCCTCCGACCCGCCCGTGCGTATTTACCGCGCGTAAAATATATCTCACAAACGATCGACGCCGGTTGCGTTCGGAAAAAGTAAACCGTTTGGCGTCAAAATTAAAAAAAAACAAAAGTCACGCTCATATCAGCACGAGTGTAAAGGGATATAGATATATTAATGTGCCTATTCGGTAAAGAAATTTTGAAAAATTTCGGTGTTCTCTCCAATACTTCGTATGGCCCTGAATATGCAGGGTTCAATGAGTAACGATTTGTTTCGTTCTTAACAAAAACAAATTTAGAATTTTAAATAATTTTAAATAAAACTATCTTTTCGGATTTTGTCGCGGATTTATTTGCATTTTTGTTTCCCGACGTTTCGAATGCTTTACAGCATCCATGGTCACGGGAGAGACTGAGGTGTTACATGTCTTGAAGGTATAGTTGTTACAGACAGCCAACCCACAATTAACAAAATGAAAATTGCACCAATTACATTACAATATTTTTTAACTTTAAACCATTTTTATAATTTTAATTATAATTGAATATGAAATATTATTTATTTAATTTTTGCTATTATTCTTTAGTATTCTTACTGTATAGATGAAAATGACAGCTTATCAGATTAATATTTTTCATTTTTCATTTGTAAAAGTATATAGTAATAGTGTTGCTTAGTAAGTTGTTTTTAAATAATAGCAAACTAAATTAAAATGATTATCCTTAATTAACTTTAACTTTTCTAAATTACACATAGAAAATTTATATGGCTTAAATAATTAATACTATATTTTATATTTTTCTTTATGGTTATAAATATAATAATGGCAACACTAAATATAGAAAACTAATTAATATTTTAAAATTGTAATAATTATAAAAATAATAGCAAAAATTAAATAAATAATATTTCATATTCAATTATAATTAAAATTATAAAAAATTTTAAAGTTAAAAAATATTGTAATGTAATTGGTGCAATTTTCATTTTGTTAGTTGTCGGTAGGCTGTCTGTAACAACTATACCTTCAAGACATGTAACACCTCAGTCTCTCCCGTGACCATGGATGCTGTAAAGCATTCGAAACGTCGGGAAACAAAAATGCAAATAAATCCGCGACAAAATCCGAAAAGATAGTATTTTAAATAGTCAAATATTCGCGTAAATCTAAGAAAGTATTAAATTTAGAATTATTTAGGTCGGGGTGTACAAATAAATTATTTTGTACTGTACTTTTTTGAGGTGTCGGTTTAATTTTTTTAATACTTTCCCTAATTTTTTCTACATATTCCGCGTCTGTATAGCTATGAGTTACGTTAGCGCCACAAAACTCACCTGGTAACCTTAAGTTAGTACCGTAAACCATTTGTGAGGCACTTATAGCATTATCTTTTCTAGGCACCCTACGTAGCCCATATAAAACAGTAGGTAAGTGCTCTACCCAAGTACTACCTATTTGATCTATTTTTGCTCTTATTGCCGTTTTCAACGTCCTATGCCAACGCTCAATAATCCCGTTACTTTGAGGATGGTATGGGGTTGTTCTAAGTTTCGTACATTACATTGTATTGTATACATTGTACGGAAAAGTGAGATTTTGCCTTCTGTTGAGAAAAATGTGTCAAATGGGTCTCAGTTAAAGGAAATAGTTAGTTCTCCACAAAAGACAGAATCTTCATCACTTGTTTTAAAGAGATCTGTTAGAATTAGAAAGAAACCAGAAGGTCTTAATTTATAGATAGTACTGAAGAAAAAGAATGTAAAATTTAGTGTAGAATTCATAGTGGGATAGTGTTGTGTATAATATACTTAAATGTTTAAGTAGTCTATGGTCTGTATTAGCATTATTGTTTATGGTTCATCTATGTAAGTACTTTTGGAAATAAAGCGTTGTTGGAAATACATTACAGAAATGGTCATAGTCCATAGATGATTCCGAACTATTACCACTCCAACAACGGTTGAATGTAGGTAGTCAGGTAGTAAGTGCAAATATAATAAGAAACGAATATTCGGATTACTTTACTAGTGAAGTTGGGGCATTAAGCTGGCAACTACAAAAATTTGAGAATATACAATGCCGCATGCATTATTGCTCGCTTTCCAACCGAAGTAATAAGTCAATAGAACAGGTACAAAAGGATCACACGGCAAAGACAAAAAAGTGACTCGCTCTCGACGCGAAAACATTTGTAAACAATTTAAAGAATATTTTTTGTGATTGTATGTATATAATGTTAGATATGTAGGTAGTTTAAGTAAAAAGTAAAAAGAAGTCGTAATAAATGTATTTGTCTACTTACCAAGTTTAGTTTTTTCATTGTTTTCTTTTTCCTCGAAATTTGGAAATAAACTTTTACATACGTTCTTCCAAGCTTCTTGTTTGATGAATTTATTTTTATTATCTTCGTTACTAGTGTCCCAAACAACAGGGCGCTCCTCAATCAGTGATATAAAAAAATCAACGTCGTACTCTGTCATTTTTGTACTTTAAAGTATACGTCATGCCCACGCGCTGTCTCAGAGTGAACTAAAATGACATCAACAAGTGTGACGTAACATCGCAGGAATGCGCGATGCGAATCAATTCGCAAGTTCTCGGATTGCGTCGAGGGAGCTCGCAGATTTTTACGATGCGACGTCGCATCGCAGTTTTGTGTTTAAGCCCTTAATACACTGTCTGTTACAGAACGCCCATGAGTTACTGATTGAGCACCAGTTTTCAAAACTCGCATCAACGTTTGCTCGATTGTCATTTCTGGCCAAATTCCAGAAAAGCTTTGTCCGTAGGCCTTACTGTAAAAAGCCCTTTTTCGGTAAAAGTTACAAATTCGGAAGGATCCATCACATTTTTCAAATCTGACATATCTTGAAAGTAAATTTGAGCCTCTTTGCAATAATTAAAATGCCCTGCCGCATGATACATGTAAATTCCAATTGCCCAAACGTTCAGCCTCAATAAATTGTAATGCCACAATAACACTATTGAAGTACTGTAGTCACAGTTCAGCAGTTGGACTTTTACGCTGTAGTATCGTTGTGGCACTGATTTTAACATGGCTACAGCATATCATCTGTTTCATAAAATTGATCTAAAGTGGGTGGATAATTCTTCAGATCAGCAAATAAATTTGAAAACGTTAATTTTTTATTCTGAATTTGACGAGAAATACTTATAAATTATGGAGGAGCTTCCAGTGGTCGAGATTCTTTGATGTGCTCAATATTTTTATGACTTTCTATGTTTTCAGAACTTTCTGCGAACTCTGCAATTATTTCCTCTATTGCATTCATTGCCAGCATATGAGCACGAATCGCCCTAGAGTAAGCTGTACACGACAACATCTTATCTACCGAATTTTGGGCAAATACTGTGCAAAACAGTTCAAAGATATCAGAACTTTCCATTATTGTTCCAATAGCTTTTAAATAGGACATGAGCAAATGGAAACCTCCTAAGCAAGGAACTAAATTTTGTAAATTTTTATCCTTGGTGTCGCAGAGTATTTGTTTGGCTTTAATGTACAGAGGATTATCAAAGGTTACAAAGCAGGTTTTGCGTTCAGTTTCTTTGCAGTGTTGTGCAGCATAATGCAATGCTGTATAAATTGTTTTCAAGTCCGATGGATTCTCGTCTATGAATGGCAAACAAAAATTCTCCGAAACTTGGTAAAACGGTACTTTAGCAACCCTATCAAATAAGCCACGAATACTAGGTAGTTTTTCAACTTGCATATAAGAAGCCCAAATGTGTGTAGAATATACTGTTGTGATTCTTGGTACAACATCTATAGAGGCAACTTCCGATGCAGCTGGCAGTCTCTTTAATTTTGGAATCCCGCTCTAGAAGTACAAACAGCATGCTTAGGAGCTACACAACAAATGCCACCCATAATGTGCATGGTGTTTTTTCCGTCAATAGTAGATGGATTATGATCTGCATTCTCGTATACATACTGAGTAAAACAAGGTTTCTCGATTTTTGTGACTTCGGCTTTTATTGCTGATAATTCATGTAAAGCAGTGTTGTGATAAGACGCACATACTCCAAGCTTAGCCAACAAATTGACTATTAATTTTGATCCTGATTTGCGGTTAATATTTAATCCGGTAGACAATAGAAGAGAAGAAATAAATGATTTTGAACGAATAGCAGAGATTATGGAATGGGCT